AAAAAAAAAAAAAAAAAAAAAAGAATTAGACTGAGTTTCAAATCGTCCTTTGAAGTAGGAGAGGTTGATACACTCCTAATATCTTTTTGACAAGTTAGACAGTTCTGTCTATAGTAGTTAACGCTTTTTTGAAAATTATTAAACATCTCAGTGCTCTATTCTGTGTGAGTGGCGTTTGCTGGTGCTGAGGCTCAGCTGGGTGGGCACAGTCCTGCCGCCTGGTCTGTGGCCTGGTACCAGGTGACGCCAGATGCCCGTGAGTCCTCACGTTTTGGAGACTCTAAGAAAACCTGTGGCTCCGATCTGGAAGAATGAGCAGGCAGGAAAATGCTGGAGAGCTGCGGACACTGACCTTGCCTCAGGGCACAGGCAAGACCACCCCACCCAGTGGTTTAGGGAACAGAGGGAATTAATTGCTGAGCTCCGAGAGTTTCCAAGGCTCTGTCTTGCCCAAGAGATGGGCATGGTTTTTAATCCTCATTTTTTCTGGGAGGTGGGCTGTTGCCACTATGCTCCTTCAAAGGGGCTCTTGTTGGAAAATCCCCCCCACTGGTGCCCTTGCCGGTTCCCACAGCTCATCCAGGAAAAACTAACCACTCACACCACTTTCTTTCACCATCCCCGCAAATGCTGGGGTCCCCACGACTCCTCAGGAGCAGCAAATACACATTTGACAGCTGACCGCCAGCAGTTCTCTGCCCTAACCCCCCTACCCTCCTTCCAGACACCCTGCGACCTCCCCTTCCCTTTGTCTCAGCACTGCCAGGAGGAAAATCGTGGCCAGGGTCACAGGGGAGCATTTGGCGTCACAGAGTCAGGCTGATCAGTAGATGGAACAGTGCAGGGAGGTATTACCGGCAGGCCGCTCTCCGAGGGTGGACATATACTGTGCTCTCCCCAAAGCACTTTATGTCCATGGTCATACAACTTGTTGATTTTCCTCCATAAACTAGTTCCTGTTGCCACTCAAGGGAGCACTTTACAGCAACATCATCAGAGTTTGTGGAGAGCCCCAAAGCAAAGATCACTTAAGCATGTCAGAGTGGACCCCAGAAGTGGCCCACGGAGAGCCATGCAGTGCACTCCCCGCACACAGGGCCGGCCACAGGCCTGTCACACGGGCCCACGTGTTGCTCTGCACCTGCAAGGTGGCTGCAAGGTGCACTGGTGAGAAGTGCCGGCTGGCCCGACAGTGGCTCAGGGCAGGGACGCGTGTGCCACTGGGATTGCAGGGAGGCAGGTCTGTGACAGGCTATAAAATGACCATCACAAATACCTTCTCTGAGAAGCACTCAGGAAGAGCAATGGAAATCGTTATCTCAAAGGCCAGAATTTATGATCTGATTTTTACAAAGATCAACTGCTTCCAAGATAGAGATTCCTCACTACACTTTCTCCGAGTGCCAGGAAGAAGGCCTGAGGGCTTCCCGCTGTGTCCCTCGGCATGGTGTCTCACGATGACACGTTCATCTGCGTGTTCATCTGAGTGCTCTTAGGAGATGCTGGCATGCTCCTGTTAGTGTGATGGCCTTGTGTGGTGTGGTTGACCGTGAAGACACAGGCCCACCCTGCCTCCCATACAGCCGCCCAGATGCACTTCACGGTACCTCCTCTCACTGCACTTTGGATGAAGTTTAAACCAAATGGCTTCCAGCTCCTTCTTAGGTAGTAAAAAGCCACCGTCACATCTGGTCACAGCATGAGTCTGAGTGTAGGGTGACCATGCACCCAACTTCAGTTGACTTTTATCTTTCTCCTCCCTTGCCTTGGGCCTGCTTTGGGTGTAGGGGGGTGATGCAGGCAGGCCAGGTCAGCTTGCCAGTCCTCCCCCACTCCTGCCATTACCTTCCTCCCTCCCCCCAGCCAACAAGGGAGGACCACTGACTTTGGAGTCAAAAAGGGCAATAACTTGAGGGTCATATTTTGTAGTATTTTGGGTGTTGCTGGCTCAGCCTCATCCTTGCCCCTGGGGCCAGGCCAGCTGCAGTTAGACCCAGCAATGGTGGGTGCTCCCCCATCCTCCCTCCTTTCTCCCCATCTCTCCTGCCCGTGCCCTGTTTTCTCCCTTCTCCCCCTCCCCTGTCCCCTTCCTGATTTCTCCCCTCTTCCTTCCTTCTTGCCTCCCCTCCTATCTTTCCTCCCTCTTCTGTCTCCTCTCCCTCCCCCATAAGCACTCCTGGTGTCTGCAGGACAAAGCAGAGGGACGGGGCCAGTCCTGCCTAGTCAGTTCTTGACGTCAGACAAGGTCTCCCTGGGCTTGGCAGTTCCCTACCTGTTAGCCCCTCTCTGGGCATAAATGCAATGACTTCCTAATCCCAGTTAGGTGGAGGAAGAGGCAGAGAAGGGGCCTGGGAATGCCTGACGCCTGCCAAGGAATGGGCTCTGGGGAGTGATTACCTGAACATCTTAATGCAATACAGGGCCTGTCACCCTGAATGACAGTAAAAGATTTCCTTTGCCCTTGAATTTATTTCTTGACTCAGGCATGGTTATTCAGGTCAACCAAAGGATCATTCCTTCCCCAAGGGCAATCTTGCAATTGGACCTGTATGTGGTCTTTCCAGGCCGAGGTGTCTCTTGGTGGTGGCCACAGCTGCCCAGAGCCCTGTGGTCAGCACTGTGAAGGACAAGCTCCCGCAGAGGCCCAGCCCTGACACACCTGCTGTAGACAGGGTATCGACAGGGAGCCTGGCCGGGACGGGGCTCGTGCTCAGCTTGGCTGCCAGTAGCTCCAGCCAAGGGCGGCTGTGCCTCAGATAGCAGGGCCATCTGGTCCCTGCGAAAGCCTGTGGGCCAAGACTCTTCAGAGTGACAGTGCTGGACATGGACTCTCTGTCGTCATGACAGCTCTGGCCATTTTGTCCACTTACCAGATAGAGGGGGAGTCAGGGATGAGACTCGGTACCTCTGTCTCCTCCAGATCCCATGCCTCTGGGGGCAGGGTCAGGTGGTCCAGGCCTAGGCTGCCCCAAGGGCTACCCCATGTCTAAAGTGCAGCTGCTGGCCAAGCTCTGCTTGAGTGAGGGCTTCCTATCAAGGGCTGAGAGGGGCACAGCAGACCACTGGCTCCCCAGCCACAACCAGGCAGGCGCAGATGACCATAGGGGGCATCACCAGGGCCCAAGCCATGGCCTTTCCCACAAGCCTCCTTCCCGGGGCAGGTGTAGTGGGAACCCAAGTTGGCAGTGGGTTAAAGAAGGCAACTGTGTCCCCATGGAGGAAGCCATGGACACCCTTGCTGTGTGCCTGTGTGTGTGAGGTGAGCACACGTGTGCAGGGATTCTCACCGGTGCCCCTTCCTCCCTCTGCAGGAGGGAACATACCTGAGACCCTTCTACTTGCTCAGCAGTGGGGACCCCTCAGTGGGGGTCCTGCCCTGCAAACACAGGAGGCCCCTCCAGGGCTCCTCCCTTGGAACTCACCTGTTTGTAGGTTGGTGCACAACCAGATGGTTTAGGTGTTCTCTTCATTCTTAGTATTAAATGTGGTCAATCTCTCTGCATTATCTTTTGCTAAAACTACTTACAAAATTTTGAAGATTATTTAAAAATTTGGGGAAAAGATGAAAACGTAATCTTTGTTCTCATTTTCAGAATTCCATGTTTGCCCTTTTCTGCACCACCCACCCCCACCACCACTACAACTACTTTCAAACTGTAGTGTGGTTTGGACAGAAGCCTGTGCCCACTTTGGTGACCAGGTGTGCACTTTGGCACCTGGAGGCCTGGCCAGTTTGGACCGCCTCATCCCCTTGACAGGGCCCATCATGGCCACCAGCTGCTAAAGCCTCAGCAAGGCTGCTTCTGCTGTCCCACATTGGTCCCTTGTCCTTGCCCAGGAGGGCCTGTGCCCTATGACCTGTGTCCATCACCCACATGACCTGGTCCACAGGCATGGACAGTGCCGTTTTAGCTGGTGTCCAGCATGGCATAGATGGAGTCTAGGGAGCAATTTGGTGTCACTGGAGGAAGGTCCCCTCTTCCCAGAGCCCTGGGGACTTGGGAATGTGAGAGACACCCACAAAGGGCCCACACTTCTTGGCACAGTACCTCCTCCCTGGGCCCAGCAGGGCTGTGAGCAGTGGTCAGTGTCCAGGCCAATTTCTGGGAGAGGTCTCGTGGCCTCACCCTAAGGGCATTGCAGGTGGACAACAGTTGAGCCCAGGGCCTCTCCTCTGGGTGTGCCTCCTCAGCGACTTTCTCCGAGGCTGTGTGAGTCCGGGTGGCCCTGGCATCTTTGCACAGAGGTCACAGGCACCCGGGCACAGCAAGAGGCTCAGCCTGGAAGTCCTGGCTGGGCGAGGGCTGTGTCAGGTGGGGGCCCAGGCTTCTGAGTCCCTGCACACCCACCCACAGGTGTCCTCACTTTGGGAAGAGAGCTCTGTCACCAGAGCCCCATGTGAAGGAGTTGGCAATGCCGCTTCCTGTTGAATGCACGCTGTTCGCCAACCAGTGTGAATTTTCAAGGCCACTCTTTGTCTTTGGTTGCTTGGTTTTTCCAAACTGCTGTGACAATGGAATGTTAACAACAGTCGCTTTGGTTCAACAGATAAAAGTAAAGAGCTCTGCAGAGCGCCCTGCCCTCCCACCCTGCTGCTGCGCACAGAGAGGAAGAGCCGGGCTGGAGCCAAGGAGGATGAGGTCAGTTCCGGACCTGTGTGTGTCTTAAAGATGCAAACCCCTCAAGCCAGTTTACTGCACGGCCTGTGTGCGTGACAGCTGGTGCCGTGTGGAGCCCCATGGGCCAGGTAGGGCTCAGACATGGGAGCAGCCTGGGAGGTTCTGCCCAGATCTGAGACCCCGAGTTCACTGGGGGCCACTCCCCTGGGCGTGAATTTGGCTTCTCACGTACATTTGTCCGTTTTCAGAAGGAAGAGAGGACACACAGTGGCCAGGCTTCCTGCAGACAGCCACAGTTTAGGCTGGGGTAAAGAGAACCCACCACACATTCGCTTTTTTTGAAAACCTTCTCCTTTTAGGCCTTTCTCTGTGCCTATTTTCCAAATGACATTTTAAAGGCTGGTCAGGATGTTGCGTTTGATGCATTTAACGTTCTAACAGCACCATCCTCCCTCTGCATAACCCAGGGGATTCCCTTTTATGCTACCTTTGAAAATCACGAATCACACTTAATTTGCTCCCGTCTCTCAAATACAGCAGTGCTGCAGTCAAACAACTCTGTGTCAGTCACCTGGGCCAGGGGCTTCCCCCAGGCCCCTGGGGTTTTCCACGGCCCCTCACTTCTGTTCCTGTTCCTTTGAGTGGCTCCACGGCGTGGTCACATAAGGTTCTCTTCTGCTTCCGGACCACCAGTGCCCAGGATCACCAGGGAAAGTTTATCACAAATGCTAGTGCAAGTTAAACTTGGGCCCCCGACGATGATTTTTCTTATAGGAGATTAACACCCAAGCCAGAATTCCGTATTAATTACACAGATAGCCTTTCTAGTGCCTTAAATAAATACTTTCTTTATCACTGGGTTCTGTGAGTCTAATTCACTTTTATTACTTTAGTGTGGAACATGAGTTTTATACCGTGATTAGCCAGTTTTATCACCAACAGGAAATCATAACCAGCGTGAGCCTCATGAAGGCGACCTTGGTAATTAGCGGCAGAGAATCCCGGCTTCGCCAAGTTTAAATGCCAGTCCCTATCACAAATTACACCCTACTATATTTGCTTGAATAATTAGCTGAAGTAATCCACTACGCAGAGACTTCTCGTTGAGTTTCTATTGTTCAATTAACTTCATAATGGAAACCCCCTCTAATTTCTCTAATTGGACTAGTAATAGAAACTCTGCTCTTAATATATATATTTCGAGATAAGTGTTCCTGGGTGCTCCTTGTCATGTAATTCTTTATCCTGACTTCATTTTCTCATGGGAAACGAAGATATTTGCTACTACCAGAAACCCTAAACTTTTTTTTTCTTATAAACTTAAGGATAACAGCATAAATTACAGATTATTCATTAAATGGGATTATCTGTCAGAATGGTTGGAGTGCAGGGCAAGACTCCAGGGAAATACCAGGATGAGCACATGTGAAGGAGACGGCGTATTGTCCTGGCTGTCACCTCTGTGTGTGAGGTGCCCTCCCCAGGTCCACGTCCTGGCTGTCACCTCTGTGTCTTCCCATGTCCTGGCTGTCACCTCTGTGTCTTCCCATGTCCTGACTGTCACCTCTGTGTCTTCCCATGTCCTGGCTGTCACCTCTGTGTGTGAGGTGCCCTCCCCAGATCCACGTCCTGGCCGTCACCTCTGTGTGTGAGGTGCCCTCCCCAGATCCATGTCCTGGCCATCACCTCTGTGTCTTCCCACATCCTGACTGTCACCTC